ACCATGTGTAAACGCTGCGCATATGGTATTTGTGTATTTGCCCGCCTGAAAACCTGTACGGTACCCCTGTCGTTCAAATGGAGTAAGATTTGTAACTTTTCCGAAGCCACATATTGACCGCCAAAAAGCAATGAGATGGATAAAGATATGCAACAGGCCTCACAGTTCAATTTTATCTTGGAAAAAATCACCAGAAATACCTACGTGTGTACCAAAGTAGACCAACATAAATATTGTTTTCGATACCAATGATATATTCAGTATATTAATTCTTACATAAAACAAATTTTCATACAAGCAATGTGTTCCATCATGCATTTTCATGGAGGCTATGGACCAACTGATGAATACCCTGACCCTATATCAGATTCTTGTCGCCCAACAAAAAAGCACCATGAAATTGTAAGGTAAGGATTACTTATACCATAATTTAACTTTGTATCCTAATTGAACAGGATCTGTCACCAGATACTTCGTTTGATACAGAGACATGCGAATCTGACAAAAGTGAGAAAGAATTGTCAGGAATCCAACCAGGTCTGCCCCCAGACTCTTTAGTTGAAACTACCTCAAGTGCCGCTGATGAAAATGACAGCGCTCTGTCAGACAGCAGAAAAATGTAAGCAAGCATCATCATCATTATGGTTCTCTGGCATAAAAAAACATAAAAAGTCAACATACAAACAAAATGCAGAGAAAACTGGAACTCGAGCATAACTTAAAATAGATTTCAAAAAGGACGCGGCTACCTACTAGAAAAAGAAATAATAAAAGGGCACGAAAGAATTAACAAGATTCAGAATCGGGCAACACTTTTAACGTAATTCAAAATGAGAAAACACATACTTCTTCCAGAATTGTTGTCATATTTGTCGACTGTAAAAATGATGAATAAAGAAGGAAAATTAATATTGAAGACTTAGGTCTTCATGCAGAATCTTTTACAGTCCATTGGTGATAAAATGATGTTACTTTACGGAGGATGCTTCGCATGCATGCCATGTCCGGTGTGACCCTGGTGATTGCAATATCATTTTTTGTGCGAACTGCAAAGTCTGCTGCTCCTGATACCAGAAGTTGGCCCTGCTCTTGGTAGTAACTGTGGTGTGTGATAAATATCCTTATTTTGTTAGGTTGTTTTGCATTTATCACTGTCATATAAATTACAACTTGTTCATGATCACCTGATAACTTTAGAACCGAATCAAGTGGTGGGTGTTTGCCCATCTGACTATATAACAATGAGGTATGGCTCAGTGAGCGCAATTCTTCCATATTATCAGAAGATGAAACTAGACAGCTTTAATAAAATAACTCAGCAGTAAAATCATTGTAATTCATTATGTCTGTGAATGGAATTGTGAAATGAATTTAATTCTAACATTTTGACGTTTCATGGTTTTTGTTTGTTGTGCCCAAAAGCATATATCTGGTGTGTATTTTAAACCTATACAACACAATATCTGGAAAACTGTATAACTTGTAGTAATTTTCTTGCTTGTTTCTTCATCATATATTTTTTATAATCTTTTATATTCTATTTCTACACTGAATGAATAAACTATATTGTAAAACCTATCAGATACCCGACTGTTTTTGGTTGAACCGGTATGATTGGAACTCTGGCTCGATCTAACTTTGTGGGATTAGCACCAACTACAGACGACAAAACTGTTGGATCTATTTTGTTCCCTCCATATAGGTTGTTACCAATGCCGGGGAACTCTTGTACATGCTTGGCTCAGCGGAAAATCTTTTATTCCCCTCAATTTCATCTGTTGGATAGTCTTGGTTAGTCCAACGATATGGAAACAAACACCAGTAGTTCTGATGAATATGTAACAATTTTTAAACCATGTTTATCACTATAACATTATTGGTCTTGTAATTTTATGTGGTATGTAATCGATACATCAATAAACCTGTTGAATTTAATGTTCCGATAGTATATTTGCACCCATCTTACTGAGCTAATAAATCTGTGTTTCTATGATACGACATAAACTTAAGTGCCCTCACCATGCCTAGCATGTACAAATTGCATCAGAGACTTGGTGACTATCCAGCGACACCACTATTTGAAGATGATGTGGTGGCAGAGACTCCTGAAAACTTATTTATAGCACTTGTCTTTAAAATCTAGCGTTGAACCATCATGAATGTATCTGAAAAAAATATTCACCTGTTCATAATTACAGATTGCTGTAGCTTGTGCAATTTATCCAAGAATGTATTCAAAAGACCTGCCCCTGCATTTTTAACCTGCCCCTGCATTTCATTTGTTTCTATACTAAACCCACCAATTAAGTCCTAACTTGGACGTTATCTATTAGTCTATGAACCATGGGATACCGGTACGGTACCGGTAGTCACGCTGGTCTCCCAGTCCTCTAACATTCTTCAACCATTTCTCGCCATCACCAGAGAAATGCCATTCGAAGGCCTTTAAAACGAGCAACGTACCACTCTATCGCCCTACACAAACCTGAATATTTGCAATGTTTGTCTGAGCGACCAACATCAAAACGATAAAGGTCGGGGAAAGGTCCATTCTTTGTGAAATCGGAAGAAACTACAATTTCGTTACCAATCATATAAAAATTGTTATTGTTAATTCTATCCAATTCAGTACGGTTGGAAAGCCTAAAAATATTTTATGAAATAAATAAGTTGTGTATAGTTATGAGTAATTATAAATGAAAATCTGTTTCTGTTAATGTGTGAAAGTGATCGCATTAGAGCATCGTGCCATCGGTTACATGGGACTTTTTTACCAATGCTCATCCCATTTTGATTGCAATAGTTTTAATCCTCATTCTGTAATACACGTTTAATTGCAATGTTTTAAAAGAACGTGTTCAAAGAAGGAGAAAAATAAAATTCTCAAATAGAAAGAGAATCATCACTAGCGCATATAAGTTTGCTCTGCATCACCTCTAGTGTTCGTGGTTTTAGCTTATTTAATTCTTAAAGTTTCCTTTTTTTGAAAAAAAAATAACAAAGCGTGTCAAACCTCCACACGTAACAGTAAAAATAAAAAGAGCTGTCTAAAACTTTCATACCCAAATAAATCAACGACAAATGTATACATCATTTAGTAGGGATTTGTAATATTATCACTGAAATAGGAAAAATAAATTAAAATTGAATATTGGACTAGGATCGAATAAAAAAAATGTATATTCAAATACATTATTATTTTGGTGATTAAAAAAGTAAGAAAGTACGAGGCGAAAACGAAGTGGTATGGGTATGCAATCTTCCACAGTAGACTACCGGTAACGCAGCTTCCACGACTTCGCCTGACCACCAGTTCGCGAACGCGGAACGCCAATTTTTTTATTTTAATGACGTCTCGAACAAATTACCGAATGTCTTAAAGCCCGCAGATACTCTTGAAATATATAAAAGTAATAACCTTCTAGCGAAAAATTGAATTGCGAAGCAATTGGAGCTGTAGATGAAAAGGAAGGCGATTTTTTCATACGGTAACAACAAGAATACATAACGACAACATCACAACACGATTCATGGATTCATTTCGTGTCCAATAAACGTTTCCAGTTGATATGGAAGATAGTTTTTATAATGTCGATGAGGCTTTGTCGTGTCAACAAAATTAAATATATTCTCGCTTGTGTTTTCAAGAACTTTCGCAGTGATGTTCCAGTCAGTTTTTTTTTACAGTGTTGACAGCAACAGTTTCCTGAATGCAATGTCATGTGTCCCAACAGAGATTACAATTCACCACTTATAAAAGTCCATAGTTAATTGAAGAAGAATATTAGCAGTTTTCTGCAATAAACTTTAATCAAACATTCTTTTTGTGAAATTCTCTCGCAACAAACTGTTTCCATGGTTACAATTTCCATAATAAACTCTAAGATAAAATATCGGCGCTAGATGTAGATAAAGAGTTCTCATTTTCAATTTTCACTCAATTTATTGTAATCATAAATATGAGTTGAAGATGATTGTAACAAAAAGATACAGCTAGAGAAAAAAGTTCAAACCAGTCGGAAGTTGTCAATGTGTATATCATGCACTTATGGAAAAAAGAATAATTATCCAACAAATGTCCTCAAGAAAAACATAACAATCTGTAGCAATGTCCATATTTGAAAAACTGCAGCACCATGAAACTTATATTGGAACAAGTGACCGTAAATTAAACAGAAATATTCGTATTATTTTACTTTCGAGTCGTATTATTTTATTTTGCCTTTTAAATGATCCGACCTCTTGGGTACAAAGTCATTTGAAAGACAGTACTATAAAGTATACAGATTCAAATTGTCATGTTAAAAATACCAAGTAATACTTGTATCATTTCTATCAGAATTATAATAGTAAAAAAAACAAATCGAGTTATTTTAAAAGTAACCTAATTACACAAATATAGCAACATTGCAAACATGCAAAAATTGAGATTTTCTGTGTACTAGTTTCACAACAACATTTCAAATAAACCATGAAATTTGAAAATTGTGCATCTGGAAAAATAAGCATTCATACGGCCCATGTTGTAACTCATGAGAAAATGCATAAAATGAATAGGGAATTCACATTCTAAGCAACATCATTAAACGGTTTTTGAAAATTCGTTTACTGCTTGTATACATCCCGATCTAATAAAATATTTTAAAGAGAGGTGTTATGCCAAAGTAAAAGTTTCAATAAATTTTTTTCGTCATCCATCAATTAAAATATGAAAAGAGATTTATTTTATGGTAAATTGGCCCATTAATTCTACCAATAGCATTTCATTCATTTAGATAGTTGCAACCTGGTCTCTCAAAATAAGAACAATCTTTAAATTGCCATCATTTCTAGTAACTGCATCTCAATCGATGATTTAAAAAAAAATTAGAACCAGGAGTTGAAAGCTGTTAAGATGCAGATCATGCATTGCCCCATCATAATGTGTATATTTTACCTACTACGTGTAACGGTATATGTAATCAAAAAAATTATCTTCAAAATCCAACACAAAAACACGGCAGTCTGTGGAAACGTTTATCATTAAAAATATATAGCAACATGAAACTGAAGCAAAGTACACAGAAACAGTGCTTCCCTGTGGTTTAGTGTCCGATCAGTTGTAAAATCATTTAAAAGACAAGAAGATACAGAATCTAATTTTTAAAGCAGTAATTGTATTATAACTATCAAAGTTCGTATCAGAATAATACTTAAAAAACCGAAATTAAGTTATCTAGTAACACAAATATTGCAATATTGCAAATATACATTATTGCAAATTTTCAAAAATAATGATATTAGGCTGAAGTGAAACTTTCATTTGATTTTTTATATTTAACAATGTCTTTTACACGAGCAAATTCTGGTAGGTTAAGATGGGTGTAGAATAGGCATTCCAGTATGAGATGACCAGCTTTTTATTTCATTATCACCTAAAATAAGAAAATGTTTCATGTTACAGTATAATATTATACTTCATATCACACAGGACTGAGGCTGCATGACCCGTTGGATAATTCATTCTGGCCCGCCTGATGCTACAACAACCAAACTAAAACTATATTTCGATGTTTTAGCTGAAAAATAGCTCAGGGAATTTGTTGAACTTGCAGATTAAATGTAGTTTTGCCACGAGGCTTATGTATCCCACTTTTTCTTTTATAGCACGTTGAATAAAATTACATAAAATATAACATTTTACTTCACAATAGCACGGCCTGTTAGTCTAGTTGTAGAAAAATTTTGTCCCATGGTCAAAAAACTCTGCCCGTCCCTGCACTTTAGCACATAGAAATTTTGAATAAATGTTTCGCCCGACTTTCTTTTCCGTCGTGAAACGGAAATCACGTATTACGTCATGCTCATATGTAGAATAATGCAGCTTTGGAAGAATTTGATGAAAAGATAGACACTTACTTATCAACGACCATGCTTGTTTCTGAATACAAAATGATAGATTACGTTAAGGTTAGATGATAATGTGAATATTATACCATTGCCTCATTTATTTTATTCACTTATTTAATTCGTCATCCATTTTCAAGGTGAATTGACGGATATGACAGTTGATTTATTGTTCGTACACAAAGACTAAACAGAAATTAGAAATATGTCAATTACAAAATAAATGATTGTAAACTCGTATATTTTATAGTGACAATTTAAAACCTATTCCCTTTTGGTATGAAAAGAAGCACATATTTCGCACATTTTCAACGAAAAACCTGGATCATGTAATTTAACAATTATTAACTTTGTATCATTGGCGAGACAACTTAGTTGCATTGTGATTTACATCTGAGTGAGTTACATTGTATATATATATATATATGTGTTGTCGAATTTTATTGTCTCAATATGTTGTTGACTATAACTATCTCCACAGCACAGATGGCAATAAAATTCAGTTTTTGTATATTTTTCGAAAAAATAACGACACTTACCAGTAGAATCTTGATAAACCTTGGTTCATAATTATTTCTTCTCAAATCAGCAGCATACAAAGCAAATTCTTTCAAGGATGGGAAGATCGGGTTAGTCTGTGTAACAAAACAAATTCGACTTTCAGACATGTTATATCATATATACCTATATTATGGATGGCGGAAGCAAAATGACACACTGTACAATTTTCAAATAGTTGCGCTGTTTACGTGCCAGTATTACATTTTTTGCATGCCTATTAAGTGTTTTGTGTAACGGTGTCATATCTGATCTGGTATATTCACTCTGCTAAATATGAACTAAGTAGAGACATTTGCTGAATCCTCATACTAGAATAACTAGATTGATACTTGAAATGTGAATATGAAATAAAAACTGAGACAAAAGATGTTGAATTATGACAGAGCTACTCGGGGAGGCTAATCGGTTGCAAATTCTTTCCTTTTTGTAATATAGGGTGTCTCAAAAGTAGGTATACAAATTTGATTTCCTTTTCAGATACTCATCAATTTTTTCAAGGAACATAATATGGATAAGCAGTAAAATTTAGGTATCGTTTGCATTTTTCATCAACCCACAGAATGACAAGGTTATTAAGACAAAAATGAGGTGCAAAATTGCTACTTTGCAAGAAGCATATAAATTAGTAAGGCAAACTCAGCACCTCTTTAACAGAGAATTTGGAACTATACATGCAGTCACTGAAGTGGCGAAAAATTACCAATATCAATTGTATTGTATTGTTATGTCATAATCGCTGTAACTGCAGTATCTGCGTGCCAGTATAATATACCGGTAATTTAGTGGTGGTTTCCCTTATTGTCAGACTGGAATAAAGTTGGTTTTATTACCGATTTCTGTCACTGAAATGGTAGTATGTTTTCTTCCTTAATTCGTAAGTTGGTAGATCAATCGATGTAAAAAGTATGTTTAATTAATAAATTTTCCATTGTACTAAAATAAATTGTTCTCATCAAAAATCACGAAAAAAACTATATTTAGCTTAGCCTTCAATTAAAAATGATTACAGAAAAACTTACATATTCAATTTCATTAACATAGAACAACAGTTCCATTTTCAATAATTTTAGATATAGGGCACCAACTAAAGTTCAAGTGCTCAGGGCATCTAAAATGCATGATCCGGTACGGGGTAGACATCATTAAAAGTAAAAATGTGGATAATGTCGGTCATACTATATATATAAATCAATTAATTTTGTGAATGGTCCAATATAATACAGTTTGGACCTGATACATTGTTTGGAAACTCCACAATTAAATATTTACAACAGACGGAGATCTAATAAGATACGAACTAAATCGTTCGAGTTTACTACCTAATACAGGGAGTTCCAAAATAAATGAAACCCATTAATTCGATTACTAATTTTGTTGGTTTTATTCATTTAGAGACGTCCTATATATTAAAATCTTATAAAAAGATAAGTGAATAAATTATTAAGTTTCGATTTCTTTACCATAAACCTGCAACCCCGTATAAAGACAATTTGTGAATTCATTATAATATAACACAGAACTTACCATTTTGTTTTCCCCGGTTATGAAAATCTCCGGCAATAAAAAGGAATTCTGATCTATTTACATAAAACACAAAATTCCGCGAGCCTTTGTTCACAGAGAAGTACTAACTGACATTGATGATAAATAAAACAAAAATTGAGAGATAATACTATGGCCTACTTATATGCACATTAAGTTTAAGTTCCAATGCTCAGAATAGGTTTACATCCGCTACACTTATGCGTGTGTCGCGACAGATTAAAAATGCTATTTTGGACGTCGGACATACTACGGGAGTCACTTGGCTAGTCTCCGAACTCGTAATAGAACTACAATAAGAAAAATTGTCAGTCTTATAAAACCAAATTTCAAAATTTAATTTTATTTTAATTAATTATGTTGATTTATAATTTTCAGCATAAGCATGCAGTCTATGTAAAAAGCTGAGTTGCAATTCATTGTAATATAACACCTAACCTCAACTTCTCGTTTTCTCCGGAAATAAAATTTAACTCTGAGCTTTTTAAAGGAAACAAAAAATGAATGATTGATAGAACAAATACTGAATAAAGATGCGTACTAATATGGATGATTAATAGAACAAATACTGAGAAGTTGTACTACGTCCAACTTGTAGGCACAACTGAGCTTACACAGGGTGTAACTTTTCTCAAATTCATCATGTGAATCAGAAATGACAACACACATAAAAAAGTTAAAAATATGGGAACTCCATTAATATCGATTTTCGTTATACCACAATATAATCAGTCAAAATCAGTATCTATTAGTCCAAAAACGTAACAAACAAACATACAACTTTTAATAATAACCTGCTATATTAGCCGTTGTTTAAAAAATTGTAAATACCAATGCTCTCTTATACGACGCGTGAAAAAATTCAGATAATGACACACGTCATATACGTTTGCTAAAGGCTGCTGGCATATGCACGAAAGTTTTGCGGCGGTTAGTGTCGATATATTATGTCCGTGGTAGGGATGTAAGTTTCGAATATTTTTTTTCGAATCGAATTTCGAATCACAATGTTCCGATTCGAATATTTCCGAATCTGTTTCTATTTAGTATATCATCATATTATCGTTAACTTTCCTCAAATTTTGAAGAAATATAGTATAAATTTTGATAAAATAACAATAATGAGCTTGAAGAATTAAAAAAGTTACCAGAAAAACACACTGCATGGATGTATAAACTACCAAATATATTACGGCTAAGATTTATTTTTTGTTACATAAAGGTATACTCAGTTACATATTTACTCACATACAGTTATGTTTGCAAATAAAACCGGGTTTATAGCGATTGTTTCTTCTAAAATTGACCTTCAAAATTCATCCAAATTATAATCGCTAGTTAGTACCGTATGCGCCATGATTTAAAAGAAGCAATGATAGCGAGGCAAGCATCGCAGACATACATGTTTTTAATAAGGTATGTAGCAATGATGTTTTATTATAATAATATTATGTAGATAATTTGAAGAAACGTTCAAAATATTTGTGAAAATTTGTAACATTTTAAATAGTCGAACAAAATTGAGCGAAACCATTGTTCCCTCGAAAGCTGCTACCAATGTGAAATATAACGACTCCGGGAGTGTCACGGCTTTGGAAAGCTGTAAACGCAAGGATAATAATGGCTTTTGGTCTATATAACGGTAGCGCCGCTGTGTCGTGCAGTTGCCTTGTGGTATCTATTGAATTTTTTTTTTAAATAGAATCAATCCCTTTTTTCTTAAATTGCTTCGAATCGATTCGAATTGATGTTGATTCGAATCGCTTCGATTCGAAATTCTGAAACTTACATCCCTAGTCCGTGGTTTGCAAATTTATTTGTAGTGTGACGCGCCGTGAAAAAATGTCAATAAAAGTAAGGATATTCATCATCAAAGGAAATCCAAAAACTACTTGCGAATCTCCTTTTCAGAATTTATTGTTCAGTATAATTAGTTCTATTGTATACTTCCGCAGTACAAGTTAATATTTAACCCATTTCGACTCGACGCGCGCCAAACAGGTGCGATTCCGCAAAAAACGACCTTCACTTTGAGAACCACGGTATTACGTATTAGTCATCACAAAAAAAGCAGTATGCTTATGGATGAAAATTTCCCTTTTGCGTTTAGAACTGAGCAACTTTGAAATCAACGTTTTTTATTGTGTTGAAAACATCTCAAACAGATAGGGAGTTGTGAAAAGGCAAGCTGAATGGCTCGCGTTAATATTGAAATAATGCTATTACAATAACAGATGATTGCTTCGATTGTGCCAAATTATTAAATTAAACATGAAATTACCGGGATGCACAACCCGTACAATCATTCCGCTTCATTCAAATTAGTGATATGCTATTTTATTTCATTTGTAAATAGAACAAACATTTTGAGGATAGTTTTAATTTCTGTGTTATTTTTTGTGTTTTTTGTTATCTATGTGTTAACATAAACCTACAACCCTGTATAAAGCAAATTTGTAAATTAATCATAATATAACACAGAACTTTTGTTTTCTCCGGTTATAAAAATCTCCAGCAATAAAAATGAACTCTGAGCTTTTTGAATGAAACGAAAAATGCTGCGAGCCTCTGTTCACAATAACTAACATTCATGATACATAGAACAAAAATATGAAGCTTTTACTATAGCTTACGCTACATGTATGTACGTACAATAAGTTTAAGTTCCAATGCTCAAAAATGGGTTTTACAACCGCCACACTTATGCGTTATGGCTGATTTCTCCCAGTATATCACCACGATGGAACCGTTTATACACACATATTTTTTTTTTCAATTTCTGTAACTCTTCTTGCAGATCAGAGATTACAACACATATAAGAAGGTTGAAAATAAATAAACCGCATTAACTGCTATATCGCATTAATCATTCATCAAATAAAATTATTATTCTCCGAGTCCAGAATGTGTAACAAACATATCTGTAACGATGGCCATCTACTAGTTTTGGTTCCTGTTTGCAGAAAATGCAGATTACGCATTATATAAGGCTTTCACTCGCATGTGGAATATCTATTTGTTTAAACGCACTTTTCTCTACTTTCCACATAACACAATTAAACTTAATAGTGCCGGAAGCTGCGTGCCTGCCTGGGAAAAACTAGAATGATCAAACTCGTACACGAAGTCATACCAGCAAACGCCCGAAAGTTCAATTCAAGCAGCAATTTCACTATGCTTTAACATTGATCCAACATCTCGAAAATGGTGCGTTCGATCAACAGTCTTTTCCACTTAAACTACGTTTTCAACAATTTTTTTTCGAATCGCTTTACCAAATCACTCCACTGACTGCGAGTCATCACACTGTCGTGGGTAAAATACAATGGCACCATAGATTTTGTTTTAGAACTCGTAATGGAACTAAAACAAGAGGGATGCGCCCATATATATTGACACGTCTGTTCGCAGTACAGTACGGTTTACCGTACCGTCGATCAGCGTCATAGCAAACAAAAACAAATCTCACAGAGCTGACAGAAATATTTGAAATAAATAAAAGTAATAGCCTTCTGGAGAAAAATTTCATCTTTAA